TCCCCAAAGACAGCCCGGTCGGGCCCGACGTGAAAGCCGAGGCCGCGCCCAAGCGCGCCCTGTACGAGTCGGTGTTCGGGTCGGGGGAAATCTGCGGCCCCTCTTCCCCCAAAAGACTTTGTATCCGCCCCTCGGAGCCTGTGGACGCGGTGGTGGTGGTTTCCGTGAAACACGACCCCCTGCCTCTTCTTCCAGAAGCCAATGGGCACAGAAGCACCAATTCTCCCACAGTAGTTTCACCTGCTATTGTTTCCCCCGCCCAGGTAACCAAACCAAACTCTATGCATGAAATGTTTCTCTGGTACCACTTCGGGACTAACTTTTGTGCTAATAGAGGGCTGGGAGAGAGGGAAGCTTTTAAACGTAGGTAACGTGCAGAATCGGATTTGGTGTCGCCCTCGGAAGCTTAACCCTCTTGGTGCTTTTCGGGAAAGTGCACACCTCACCTTAAAAGATGCGCGGGGAGGCATGCTACCTAACAAAACCACTGGTACCCCGTAACGCGAAAAACTTAAAAGTTCGCGGAACAAAAGGATGAGCTCACTCTTGCAGCCTCTCTTCGGTGAATGCATGAGTTTTATAAGGCAAAGCTTTTACAAGGAACGCTGTGCATAGAAAGGAAGCAGTTCCTTAAAACAGAAACGTTAAAATACTCACATATTCGCCATAACTTATGAAGGTAGAGAAACAGTTATAAGTTATTAAAAAGAAAACGTGCCAATCCCACTTCCTGTAGTTTTCTTCTCTTTTTCTTTTCTTTCTTTCTTTCTTTCTTTTTTTTTTTAAGAAAAGAGGCGGAGAATGGAGAGCCCTGGCAGGCGGTTGAATGCCTGATTCTACTGTAACATGTAGTCAAATATAAAGTGGCGACTAGAGTCGCTTGTTGAAAGTTATTATGCAGATGGGAACGTGGCGTCTGTGCTACATCTCGGGCTACAGGTTGGAGTGCGGGCCTGTGGTGCCCGGTGCTATGGGCACTGAAATACTGCTGTCTGTCCCTGTGGAGCTCTCCCTCTGGGGGTAGATTAGACTTAGGAAGTGGATGATTAGAGGAGGAGAGCTAGCCCGGAAGCTGAGCCAGCTTGGGCAAATCAGTTCACCTCTCTGGGTTTCAGTGTCCTCATCAAAATGAGGGAACTATTTCAACCCTAAGTGCCAAGTTCTAGGTCAAGACTGGGGCCAGAAGTGTTAGATGCTTCTTTCCTTATCATTTTCCCTAGGGAATTATATTCTTGAGTCTTATTAAAGTCATCTTCATTCTTTGGACACTCCTCTAGGAGTCAGAAACCAGAGGTCTTTGGGGACTGCTCTGTTCAGAGGGCAGGAGTGGCCGCTGGAGGTTTTTACAACTTTGATCCCTGTGCCGTCACGCAGAAGTAGAAATTTGGACTGTAAGTCCAGGAGGTATAGTGCAGGCCCTCCAGGAACAGATGTCAGGTACCTCCGTGCTTTTCCCAAAAGTAGAAATTCCAGTTCTGGACAAGCTGACCCTTTCAGACGCTTACCAGCTAGCTAATCAGCAAACCTCAAGGCCAACTGAGAAAGGGCTGTAAATGGTAATATAAACACCCAAGTTCTCTAAAATACACAAGACCTGTAGGCTGAGTGTCTTTCTGTACTTCTGGTGTGTGTAGTACCTTTCTGACAGACAGGTTGTGTTAGAGAGTTTTAAGAATGGGGAGGAGAATTGGGGGTTTGACTTTTCTTTTGAAAGCAAAAATAAATGTTTGCATTCTTCTGAAGCAGAAACACTTGAAATGCCCTGGTTGATAGGAGCCCCTGATTCATTAAGAGTTAAAAGCCTAAGAAAGTTTATTAAAGCATATATGTGCTTGGAATAACAATGAAACAGTTTGTCTACTGGCATCTGTCTATATAACACCAGTTTCTTGACGCCAGTGTTATACAGAATTATGATTTGAAGAACCACAAAAGATTAGGGGGTTTTGTTTCGTTTGGTTTGGTTTTCTTCTAAGGAATGCATTCCTTGGTCACAGTCTTTTATTTACCTGGGTAGGATAAATCAGTTCCATAAAACTTGTAATACTGATGCTTTTATTATCCTTGAGTGACTGTCAGTAACTCCCAAGTTAGATTTGAGTGTCCATATGTTACTTGTGTGATTATTATGACTCTCAAACATGATCTTAGCTCTTAAATCTGTTAGTTAAAACACTACAAAAAGTGTTCTGTTTGCACATATTTAATAGTCAGCTTTTCACTTACATAAATTTTTTCTAAATTCAGCATTAGGAGGTTTAAGGGAACGCTTTAAACTAGTAACTTCTGTAGAGCTCACTTTATGAAGTCTGACCAATCTAAGTATGAAATGGGTGTTTAGTTTAAATAGAAAGCTGATGTTAAACTTTTTCCTTCTGTATTTATTAGAATCACCGTAAGGATTGATGTCCAGGGCATTTCCTGGGGATTAATGCCTGGCAGAGGTTGCTAGCCTGTGGCATGGCTTTAGGTCATCCACTCTTCTGGCTGGCCATTAATCCCCAGGAAATGCCCTATGTGCCTGGAGCTTCGGTCATTATTACTTAATTGTAAACATAGCCTAATACCGACCGGACCTCATCAAGGGGCATCACACTGAGTCTCACTGTTGACCTGGCTATTGTAGACTTCTTGATAACAGAGAGATCCCACAAGAGGGATTCTCTTCTAATGTTGCAAGTTTCTCAAAGGATCCAGAGCCTGCTACTTTAAATGCATTTACTCTTTTTACTTCTTGAGAGTGTTGATAAGCGTATCACTTATGGGACTGGTTGAAAAACAAATGCATTCAAGGGTTAACAAAGGCTCTGGAATTTGTGATTTTTATTCATGTGAGGTATCTGGTTTTTTTGGAGGGGGGCTGTTGGGTGGTTGTGATGGTTGCTTTAAGTGGTCCATCGAATTTTCTTGAATGGTTGTATTAAAAGTAAAGGGTAGTTTTAGTTCCCTTCCCCCCTCATAGTTGTTATGACCTAAGATGGTCTAAGTTATTGGTGCAATTTGCAAGCTCCCAGGTGGAGATTATGTGGTCCATTTAAAAAGGTCTAGCACTGTATCCTCCATTGTTTCTCTTTGCACAAAAATACAGCATTTTTTCTGCCTCAGAGAACAATACTTCCACTTAAATGGATGATAGAGATTTGTAATTTTGTTGTCATTCAGAGGGAAAAAAAAGAAGTTTAAATTCTGAGCATCATGGTTTTATCGCTGAAGTTTTTGTAGACATGCCTCTCTCTAGTGCCAAACAAAACTGTGAAAATTACCTCACTATAAACTATGCTTAGAAGCATTTGCAAGCTGTGACAAAGGTGTCATTAGTTAAACTTGCTTGACTCTAACCCAGATTATTTCCAGAAATACTTTAAAGAAATTCTGTAGATAGGACATCTATTAGTGGAAAGAGTGTGGGGTGGTGGCGCACGCCTACTCCTTCTGTTTTATTGTCTTCTCTGTGGGCCAGGGTCAGTCCTTACAGTTTCCAAGCTGGAAACAGGAGCAGCTTCCAAGTAGGCACACTTAGTTAGTTGTTCATTAACTTATCTTTGAGAAGCCAGAGACAGACAGCTCTGGGAATCCAGGCTCCATTCAGGTGCTGTAGTGGGAAGGAAGATGGAATATTTATATGCTAAATAGAAAAAAAAGCATGCATTTTATGTATTATTGAAATAATCACTAAAGTCCTATTTTTTTTTTCTTTTTATCTTTTTTTTTTTTTTTTTTTTTTTGAGTCAGGGTTTCACTCTGTCACCCAGACTGGAGTGCAGTGGCATTCATGGCTTACCTCAGCCTCGACCTTCTGGGCTTAGGTGATCCTTGTGCCTCAGCCTTCCAAGTAGCTGGGACTACAGGAATGTGCCACCGTGCCTGGCTAATTTAAAAAAAATTTTTTTTAGAAACGAGGTTTTACTGTGTTGCCTAGTATGGTCTTGAACACCTGGACACAAGCAATCCTCAATCCTCAGCCTCCCAATGTGCTGGGATTAATGCCTGACCCTAAAGTCCTATTTTGAATGTGAGGCAGGGATATCCTTTTTTTTTTTTAATAAATGGAATAAAGTGTTTATAAACATGAAAGGAGTATAGCAATTGTAATAAGTGTTCTTTGCAGTGGTTATTAGGATTAACTACCTTTTTAAAAATGGGTTTTTTTTCCTGATTTTTAATATCAGCTTGTGGCTACATTCCTTTTTTCTATTGTAGGAATATTTGCTTTCCTTTAAGAAAAGTTCAAGTTGGTAGAGAAACTAAATGTTTTGTACTTAAGAATGCAACTTTCTTTTATTCATTTAGAAAATTTTTACAGCGTGTCTACTATTTTGGCTTTTGTACCAGGAATCTATAAATTAATCAGTTTTATTTACTTTAAAGACAGGGTTTCACTCTGTCACCCAGGCTGGAGTGCAGTGCCACCATCCTAGCTCACTGCAACCTCAAAATCCTGGACTCAAGCAGTCCTCCCACCTCAGCCTCCTGAGGAGCTGGGACTACAGGCCTGTGCCACTACACCCAGCTAATTTTTAAAAATGTTTCTTATAGAGATGGGACTCTCACTTTGTTGCCCAGGTTAGTCTTGAACTCCTGACCTCAAGTGATCCTCCTGCTTTGGCCTTCCAAAGAGCTGGGATTACAGGCGTCAGCCACCTTGCCTGGCCCTCTTTACCTATTTAAACTAGATCAAAATAAAGGAAATTAAAAGGTGATGCACTCAGTGTTTTGCAGCAGCCATTTTGGGAATGAAATCCATACTTTAATATTCTCTTTTAAGTACTCATATATTACTATTGCAATCAGTATTTATGTGTATTTTCTTAAACTGATATCAACTCATGTCAAATATCAGTTCACTATCTGTTCAAGCTGATTCATGAAATAGAAAAAGAAGTATTTGCTGCCACATGAAAAAGTTAGCATGTAAATATTTGAATCACCTTCAGTTTAAAATCTGGCTCCCCCCAAAATGTAACCAAAAGTCACTTTCTTGTTATTACTAAGTAGATTTCAAGCAGGAAGAAGCCCTTCTCTGCAGAGGACCACTAGTTGTATGTGAGACCTCTTAGGTTGTACAATACAAGCTTGAGTTTCAAGTTACCTTTGGTGTTTTAGCTGCCATTTCACAAACAGAATCAATATAGGAGTTCTTGTGTAGTTAACATGTGTCAAAAAAAAAAATCATAGGACCAAACGTGGAAACCAGTAATCTGTGGCTTTGTCGTATGCTAGAACTTTCATTTCTAGAGTTGATTTTATTTCTCTTACCATTCAC